TTACCTAGTTCCTACCTGGAACCTGCTACTTTGTGGTCCCTGGCCACCCCTTCCCTTTCCTGGCTCTAAGGGGCTAGGGCCTGCCTTGCCTCCCACCCCCTTAGCTGGATATTCTGTCACTCCTGAGGTCCCCAGCCACTCCTGCTCCCTCTCTTTCCTGGCCCTAGGGGGCTTGGGACCTAGCCTTGCCTCCTGCCCTTTTACCTGGATATCCTGCCGCTCCTGAGGTCCCCTGCCACTCCAGACAATAATACAACAGTAAAATTAAGCCCTAAAGGCCTGTCATGGATTGAGTTGTGTCCTCCCAAAATATGTGTCAACTTAGCTTGTCTATGATGCAGTGGTTTGGCAGTTATGTAATGACGCAATCTGACAGTTATAGCAGTGATACAATCATTCCCATGATGTAATCTGACGTGATCAGCCAATCACTTGTAAAGGGATTAGTGGGGAATGCGAAACACTTACTTAGATCACAGCTCTGATTCAATAAATGTAAGGGGAGTTTCCTTGGGGTGCGAGCGACTCCATCACTTTCATCTTACAAGAGATAAAAGGAGACACAAAAGAGCAAAGAAGCAGAGGACCTCTGTACCACCAAGAAAGAAGAGCCAGGAACAGAGTACATTGTCTGGACCTGTACTGAGAACCTCCTAGACCCAGGAGCAGACTGATGGCAAGACACATGGCAATCTCCAAGGGATACTGGGCCCAGAAATATTGAAAGGAAACAAGGACCTTCCCCTAAAACTAACAGAGAAAGTCTTCCCGTCCCCTAGAGCTAGCACCATGTGTTTGTACTTCTAGCCTCCTAAACTTTGAGAGAATAAATTTATTTGTTTAAGCCATCCATTTGTGGTATTTCTGTTATAGAAGCACGAAATAAGTAAGACACAGCCCACTGTACCATTTTGATCAGCACATGACCAAACTTACCTATCTATACTCCCACCTACTTCCCTCATTTCTACCTTATGTCTAATGACTTTTCATTCTTTGTAAAACTGGCATAATTCCAGTTCTGTAAAATTCAAAATAAGTTTTATCAAAATTAGTTTTAATCTAGGAAGCCAACTAAGTTTTGATGAAGGTGAGAAAGCATTTTAATAGAGGAATGATAGGCCTTTCAACAAATGATGCTGCAGCCACTGGACATCCACAGATTATTAAAAAAAAAGCCTGTACATGGTGTCAGTCAGCACCTTGGAGACCACCGTGAATCACATGGGGACACAATTAACATGCAGATTCTAATCTGGCAGGTCTGTAATTTACTCCCATGTATGTCTGTGTTGCTGGCCACTGGACCACACTTTAAATAGAAAGATCTTAAATCTTCTTCACAAGCTCACTGCAGTGAACACAATGAAGATGCTTTCATGGAACATCTACCAAATGTGTAGCATACTTCTAGATTTGTGCTATTAAAAAGATCCAGATCAGCACAGGGGATATAAAGCTCAACTGGCAGAACATACTACACAAAACATTGCTCTACATCTTACTTTGGTGAGTAGCAACTGTAGTCTTAAAAGCTGTTATGCAGCCATCTAGATACAACAACTGGTCTCTCTTCAACCAGAGCAAAGAATAATGAAGAAAACCAAAGATGCATGGAAACAATTATTCCAAGGAACTAGTGGCCCATGTGAACCTCAGCCTGTATGACCATGAGACCAGAAGAACTAGATGGTACCTGGCTACCACTGTCAACCATTTGGAAAGGATCAGTGCAAGAGATCCTGGATAGACTGGGAGAAACAATGTGGAACAAAACTCAAAATCATAAAAAAGACCAGGTTTACTGGCCTGTCAGAGCCTGGTGAAACCCTCAAGACTGTGGCCCCTAGTTACCCTTCATCCCTGGAATAGAACTCACTCCTGTGACTTCCAGCCAAATAATAGACAGGCATATAGGTTGAACATTTATACTAGGTAGATACACTCCTTAGAACGATCAATCATGGTAGAACAGAAGAGGAGTATTTGCACAGGGAGATAGGCAGGGGGCAGGAATGCATAGTTAAGAAGGACACAGGGAAGAGGTAACTACAGGGAGGAAGTGGGAAGACAGCTCTTACACTGTGGGGATTGCAGTCAATGTCATGAAACACAATGTGTATGAACTTCTGTATGGAAAATGAATTTGCTCTGTGAACTTTCACCCAACTCACAATGAAAAAAAAAACAAAACAAAAAACCACCTTTTATTAAAAAAAAAAGACCCAGACTGGGAAATAAAGTACTTCTGTTTTTATTCCTACAAAATTATATTTTAATGTAGAAGCTTAGAATTTTATAAAGTAAATTGATATGTTAATAAATTTTTGGGGGGGCAAAAAAAAGAAAATGGACTTCATCAAAATTAAAAACTTTTTCTTTGTGCAAGACCCTGTGAAGAGGATGAAAAGATAAACGACAGGCAGAAAAAATACTTCCAAATCACCTACCCAATAAGCAGTAAAAAATAATCACAACCTAATTAGAAAACAGGCAAAACATTTGAAGATATGCTCGATCAAAGAGGCTAGAGATAGCAAAAAAAGCACATGAATGATACTCAACATCACTAGCCATTACAAACAAAGACAGAGGTATGTCTGGGCAAAATGGAATATACCCATGACCACGTATAAGCTTAACAGAAGATATTTCTACATAGTATTTATATGTGCTATAAGAATGTGCATATATATTATAAAGCTAATGGGGCAAAATGATAACTTCTTAGCTACACCCAAATACTCTGAGGGAATAAGTCACTAGGCCCATGTGAACCTCAGCCTACATGACCCTGAGATCAGAAGAACTAGATGTGCTTACCACCATAAACTACTAGGAAAGAGGTTGAAACAGGAGATTTTGGATTGAGTAGGAGAAAAAGGTGGAACAAAAGTCAAAATCATAAAAAAGACCAAGCTTACTGGTCTGATAGAGACTGGTGAAACCCTTGAGACTATGGTCCCTACTCACCCTTTGGGCCTGGAACTGAACTCAATCCCATGGCTGGCTTGCAGCCAAACAACAGCCAGGCATATAAGGTGAAAATTTATAACAGCAAGTGCACTCCTTAAAATGATCAATAGTGGGAGACCAGAAGAGCAGTACTTGCACAGGGAGACAGCTGAGAGGGCAGGAATGGATAGGAAAGAAGGACACAGGGAAAAGGTAACCATAGGGAGGAAGTGGGAAGAGAGGTATTACACTGTGGGGATTGTAGTCAATGTCACGAAACAAAATGTGTATGAACTGTTGAATGGAAAATGAATTTGTTCTGTAAACTTTCACCCAAATCACAATAAAAAATAAATTAAATAACCAAGCAAATCCACTGCCATCAAGTTAATTCTGACTCTCAGAGACCATGTAGGACAGAGTAGAACTGCCCCATAGGGTTTACCAGGTCGTAATCTAGATGGGAGCTCTGGTAGCATAATGGCTAAAGCACTTGACTGCTAACCAGAAGGCTGACGGTTCAAACCCACCAGCCACTCCTCGGAAGGAAGGTTGGGCAATCCTACTTCCGTAGTGATACTGCCTCGGAAACCCAAGGAGGGGTCGCTATGAGTCGGGGACGACTCGACGGCACATAACAACAACAACAACAATCTTAATGGAAGCAGAATGCCACATCTTTCTGCCATGGACTGGCTAGTGAGTATAAACCATCAACCTTTTGGTTAGCAGCCAAGCACTTAACCACTATGCCAGCAGGGCTCCTTTCCATTAACCATTAGGGGAATGCAAATTTTAAAATCACAATGAGATAACATTACACATTGATCAGAATGGCTAGAATAGTAAACAGTGACAACAACTGCTGGTGAGGACGTGGAGAAACTGGATCTGTCATACATTGCTAGTGCAATATGAGATAGTACCACCACTCTGGAAACAATTTGCCAGTTTCCTAAAAAACTATACATGCAACTCTATGTTAGGATCCAGCAACTGCACTTCTGGGCACTTGTTCTGGAGAAATGAAGACTTACATTTTCACAAATACTTGTATGCACATGTTTATAGCAGCTTTATTTATAACAGTGGTGAAAAAAGTCAATGCCAGAAGTTATATACTACATGATTCCCTTCATAAAAATTCTTGAAATGATGAAATTATAGAAACTGAGAACAAATTAGTGGTTGTCAGGGTTAAGGAGGAGGGAAAGGTAAAAGGAAAGTAGGTGTAGGAGTTCTTAAAGGGCAAGATGAGGGATCCTTGTGTGATGGAAATGTGCAGTTATCTTGAGTGTATCCATATCAATACCCTGGTTGTGACTACAGTTTTGCAAGATATTACCAATGAGGGAAACCAGGTAAAGGGTTCATGGGATCTCTATATGTTACTTCAAGGTGCTCTGGTGGTGTAGCGCCTAACGCATTTGACTAGCTACCAAAAGACTGGCAGTTCAAACCCACCAGCCACTCCGTGGAAGGAAGACTGGGCATTCTACTGCCATAAATATTTACTGCCTCAGAAACACAACAGGAGTTGCTGAGTCAGAATCAACCCAATGGCACTGCTTTTTTAATTAAACTTTCTTGTTTTGAGATAATTGTAGATTCACATATAGCTGTAAGAATTAACATGTAAACCAAAAAAACAAACGCACTTTATGGGAAATGTATTTTCACTGTTAATCATTAGTTAAATATATATATAAACAAAATTAGTACATATAAAGATTAAAGACTGTCAAGTGATTTACTTTATAATTTGTATAGAACTGACCACTTGAACATAAAAATTACACTAGGAAGAAATTGTTATTGTTGTTATGTGCCGTCAAGTCGGACCCAACTCATAGCGACCCCTCCTTGGGTTTCCGAGGCAGTATCACTACAGAAGTAGATTGCCCCATCTTCCTTCCGAGGAGTGGCTGATGGGTTTGAACTGCCAGCCATCTGGAACAAATAGGATTTGATATATCCCTATACAAAGCTTCCATATTTTCCTGAACGACCAAGGTTTTAAAGAACAAGGCTGTATTATGACTTACTACTTCATCCGCAAATCCACCAGCCAGGACAAGAGAGTAAGCCCCATCATTACTTCGACCATGAATTCCACCAACATGGGGCCTATGGACACCTGCTTCGCTCACCTAGAAAAGAAGCAAAAAGAGCTGCACAATACCACTGAATAAGAAAGTTACATTTAAAAGTAGAGTCATATACATTATTGGATACAAACAATCCCCAACCAAGCACTGAATCTCACCAGAGTTCCATCTTTTGCTCTCACTTACTTCTCCCAAAGTATATCTCATAGGGACTGTTATGGATCAAATCCTGTTCCCTTAAAATATAGGTTGTAAATCCTGATCACCACACCTGTGGTTATAATCCCATTTGGAATGTTTTTGTTATGGTAATGAAACCGTATCAGTCACTCTCTTTTTAAACGTAAAAGGAACAGATCAAACAAGGGAGCACCACTGAGGGAAGACAGATGCCACACCATGTGAAGATCACCAAGGAACAAAGGACCTTCCCCCACAGCAGACAGAGAGAGGAAGCTTCCTCTAGAGCTAGTGCCCTGAATTTGGACTTTTAGTCTCCTAAACTATGAGAAAATACATCTGTTTGTTAAAGCTACCTACATTTCTTTATAGCAGCATTAGATAACTAACATAGTTACTGAGCCAAAGGCTCTAAAACGGCTTGCGCTTAGACTTCTGAGTTCCAAAATAACAATGAAATGATCCTCATTTTATATCTACTGGTATTTCTGTTCAACACGGCTAAAAAAGAATTTATTGTCAGTGTTCTAGGTCTCTTCTCATTTTTTGTTTCCTGCCCAGTTGGCCAAGTCAGAAAAGCAGGAATCATTTTAGACTCTTTTTCTCCCAAACCCATTTAAGTCTTAAGTATTGTTGATTCCACCTCTTAAATCTCTCAAATCCATCATTTTCTACCTTCATTGCTATATTCTTAGTGTGAATTATGGGCACTTAACATAGACCCTTCTTAAATGCCTTCAGCTGCACCTTCAAATCCATTCTAAACTCACTGCCACAGAGTCGATTCGACTCACAACAACCCCTCCTTGGGTTTCTGAGGCAGTATCTCTACCACAGTAGAGATGTACTGAAGTTAACTGCCCAATCTTCCTTCTGAAGAGGCTGGTGGGTTTGAACCACCAGCCTTCTGGTTAGCAGTCAAATGCCTTAGGTACCAGGCCACCATAGCTCCACAAATCCATTCTACCCATCACAAACAGAACGATCCTTTTAAGAACATTCAGTTTTGGATTTTTAACTGCTTAAAATACAATGGTCCTAAAGTATCACGCCCAAACTAAGCATTACTCAATACTCTATCTCAATCTGGCTCCGATTTACTCTCCTGGCCTTATCTCCAGTCTCTCCTTTATGGAACCTTTATGTACTTGAGCCAAAAATGCTCAATGTTACACAAATATGCTATACCTTTTCTTACTTTACTCATACTACTCTGTTTGAATGGTCTACCGCATCCCCCGCCCCCAAAATTCAAGTATGCCTAACTGAAACAAATGTCACTTCTTTGTGTGATTCAAGCTCCATGAGAAAAGTTTTGCAGTTCAACTGCATGCCATACAATTATTCTTAGCACAGAAAAGGAAGCTGGAATCTAAGCTTGCACAGCGGGTTAGTGAAAGAGGATGCTTTAGAAGCCAATGAGAAGCCGATCAGTGCAACAGAACAGGGGAAAAAAGAAAAGTACTTCAGCAGAAAACAGAGCCATGGGAGACAGGGAAGAACAAAGGGCTGACTCAAGTTTATATAAGGAGTTGTCAGGCTAGTCCAAGTCCATGCAGCCCAGAGACTGCTCCTCTCCTACACCTGAAGGAGATTTGTCTTCTGGAAAGGCTTACATAACTAGAAACAGGGAAATAAGTAAAAGTCTCCATAGTGAACACTGAGGCTTCCCTTTCATTGTTGTTGTTTTTATGTGCCATCGAATGGGACCCAACTCATAGCGACCCTTCCTTGGGTTTCTAAGGCAGTATCACTACAGAAGTAGATTGCCCAACCTTCCTTCCAAGGAGTGGCTGGTGGGTTTGAACCACCAGCCTTCTGGTTAGCAGTCAAATACCTTA